AGGACAACCATGACCTGGATGACTGAGAATCTCCATAGAAATGACTGGCAATTCTGAAGGTATAGCAAGAATTGGAAAAGGCTTTTTGTCCTGAATGTATTGTGCTAGATTCCATTATCATATCATTTATTCCTGGTACCTGAAAAAAACAAAACAAGTGCTCTTAATGGCTCTGGATAACAAATGATGAGTTTTCCACCATTGCCACCCACATGGTAGCTTTCCGAAAAAGGATTTTTTTTTTTCTTTTCACTACATTTCACATTGATGTTTCCGGCCCAGATATGTTTCTTTAAATTATGTTTATTTCAATCATGTTTCTGATAAGACCCATTTTTAATTTAAGATCTAATAATTTGACAATGAAAAAAGCATCTTTGCCAAGTAATCCAAGGAGTTAAAGGACTGAGATAGATAAACCCTCTTCAGATGTTCTTAACGCTTTGTGGCACAGCAACCAAAGTGGAAAGATAAGTGCAAGTATTCTAATTCCATTCTCACTTAATTCTTGTTAACTTTCTCATAAAGTACATCAGCTCCTAAAGCAAAATGCTACTTCTGTTGATTTGATGAAGAATTTTGGAAAAATTGGGGTTGTAGGGAAAATTCCCATTTTCAAAATGTGCTTTGAGCATAAGGAGGATGCTGATAACTAGGACGGAGTAAGCATAGCTAGCTTGTTCAATACTTTTGCTTTTTACATGTTAGTATAATAAATTCAGAACATATAAAAAGGGCTAAGCACACTTGGAATACGCACCTCTCTTCCCCTTTTTAAGTTAAAATTAAATAGGTTATTTTAGCCACTTTCTTGGACCTATAGAAATAATCCAAATTTTGCTCTGTTTTCCAGAGTATTGTCCTCTGCAAAATTGATAGTTATTCCTTACATTTCCTTATCCAGGTCATTAATGGAAAAAAAATGAATAATATTGTGTCTAGGATTGAATCCTGTTTCACATAACTGTACTAAACTGATGGACTGTCCATGGGCACTCTGTGAGGGTGATTTAAAACACTGTGGCTTTAACAAGTAGTCATGCAATCCATCCCCACATAATAGTTTGCTAATCAGCACATATTGGAATACTTTAACTCAGGAGTCCTCAACCCCTGGTCTGTGGTATGCCAGAAACGGGCCACGCAAACAAGCAAAACACCATCCACGGGATACAGGCAGCGCACAAAATCACACCCCCTCCAATCTGCAGAAAAAAACTCTCTCCACGGAACTGGTCCCTGGTGCCCAAAAGTTGGGGGCCATTGCTTTAACTCTTCTCTAGAACTATCTATGCTAGAGTTAAAATGTTTTGCATTATTAAAAATTGCTGGTGTTTTCTTCTGGAAATACAGTTCAATGCAGTACTGTAATCAATATTATTCTACCTATATTAATCATTACAGCTTTGAAGGATGTTCTAGTACAGTGATGGCTAACCTTTTTGCCGTTGGGTGCCAAAAGCGGGGGGAGCATGGGGGGTCGCAGGTGCGGGTGCCCACATCCATAATTCAATGCGCCCTGCTCTCTCGCGCATGCGCATGTGACCCCCCCACACTTCCCCCTGCTTTTGGCACGTGATGGCCCAGTGGGCCCAGTAGGCCAGTTTTTTCCCCTTCCCAAGCTCCAGAGGCTTTCTAGGAGCCTGGGGAGGGCAAAAACAGCCTTCCCCATCCCCCCGGAGACCTTTCGGAGGCCGGAAACAGCCAGTTTCCCAACTTCTGGTGGGACCGGAAGGCCTGAAAATCAGTTGGCCAGTGCATGCATGCGCGCTGGAGCTAAGCTAGGGCAATACTCATGTGCCAACCAATATGGCTCCGCGTGCCACCTGTGGCACTCGTGCCATAGGCTCGCCATCACTGTTCTAGTATGTCTCTTCCTATTGTTTGTGCTATTTCCTCTCTGACATTCACAAAACCGGATGATACAAAAGAAAAAGAAAAGTGGGGCTGATCAGCAGAATATATGCACTCACACAAACACACATATACATATTGGGTGTGTTCCTTTATAAGCAGAATCCAAACAGAATGTGTCAAGCCAGAGGCGTTTAATTATTTTAAGTGTTTTTAATCCATCACACCCAGGAAATATCTATCCAAAAATAACAGCTTCATTTTGGTTATGATTATACAACTGCTTTCTACAATTAAGGGAAAAGGATAATAGCCAAAGTTTTGATCAGAGGAATGAGAGTGGCATGCATAAGATAATAAAACATTTTCTAATATATCACTTAAATGATTGTTTGGCTAGCATACGAAAGTATTTTATTACTTAAATGTGGATTTTTTTATATCTCTAGCTTTTTGTAATTGCATGCACATTTTGCTTATGAGCTGAGCAATGGCTGAGCCCGGTATTATCAAAAGGCTGGGTCATCAGCAATAGTGTGAAGAAAAGATAATAAGGGGGGTTGGGGGGAAGGTTTGTTAAGCCAATAATTCTCAACCAAGTTCCAAACATGCATGAGAAGACCTTCTATTCAAGATGCAATTCATGAAAACATTGCTTTGGGGTGGTGATGTGGTGAACTGCTTGAACAATGTATCAATTATTCCACCTCCAAAGTTATTTAAATAATGGAATCCAAAGTTGCCTGGAAAGCCAAATACTGTATTGGAGGAATTCATTTATTTTGTCTAAGCTTCCTCTGATTCTACTTTAAGCTTTTGTTTATGGCGTCACTCTGGCTAATTTATAACATCTGAGTTCAGAGATCACTTCTAATTACTACTCTGCCATGTATCTCTGCCATAAAAAAACTTTAAGAATAGTAAAAGAGAATAGCCACAATATTATTTTTGTTCAGTTGTGTTGACCAAAAGCAGTAAAACCTATAGTAAGATAGGATGAAAAAGGATGATCTCTCATCCTTCAAGCTCAAGTTTCCATGATCCAAGTCAGGATAAGATAAACGAAGAGTATCATAACCAAAGCAAGAGTATTATATTGGTGTTATAAGTGGCTCCATGTACTCACCATTAAAAATTCAAGAGACAAAACCCTTTTTCTACTGTTTTTTAGACTGACTCCTAAATACCCTAATTCCTTAGAGCAACAACACAACTTACTGCCAAGGCTGCTAATTATGGTTGTTGACTGGTCTGTTCCATTTCCTGGATACCAAAATCGTCACATTTCCTTGATATCCAAATCCTCACTATGAAGAACTCTGGTACTTTCTGTATGAAACCAAAAGAGCTGAGTATTCACCAGCAATAGCCATGAACCATTATGATGCCATTACTCGGCTATATCTCAGCTTATCTGCATTCACAGCTGGCGGTAATACTTTGCCTCTTATGACTCCTTATTACTTTGAAACTCCTGTTTTGTTTAATAAAGCTGGTATTCTTCATATATTAAGTAACAGAAAAACTTTCTTTTGGGGAAACTAACAAAATACATGTTAATATTTTTATTAATATTTTACTCAGGGAAAGAAAAGTGAGTGAGCCACCTCCAAGGCAATTGTAGGTATCTTTTTTTTTAATAAAAGAGTTTTTTTTATTTTTCAATTTTTAAAATACATACATTCCATCTTTCCTTAAGCAGTGTGTTGTCTGGGTACAACTATTTCTGTGCAATATCTTTCAATGTTTACACATCATTCTCATTCCCATTAATATTGCTTCTCTCAACTTAAAATTACAATACATTAAAGAGTTAAACATTATAAAACTCTTCATTTTCTTCTTAATATCTTCTAATGATAGTACAATAATAACATTGTTAACAGTTATTCTCATCCTACGTATACTAACAATTGTCATCTTATTTATTTCTCTTTCTTATTATGTTTTCTATTTTTATTTAATCTTCATTTCCAAATTCCTTTTTTATTCTCTAACCATTGATAAAATACTTCCCATATCATATAATATTCAGTTTGTTTTCTCTCCTTAATTGCTAGTGTTAATCTATTCATTTCTGCACATTCTAATATTTTCCTAATCACCTTCTCATCAATTGGAATCTCCTCACTTTTCCAATGTTGTACAAATACAATTCTAGCTGCGGTTAATACATGAATAATTAAATATGCATTCTCTTTATTATATGTTTCAGGTAAGAAACATACAATATTTTTGGTTTTACCTCAATACATTGTTTTGTCAACTTTTCCAACCATGTCTTTATTTTTGTCCTATACTTCTTTGCTTCTCCACATGTCCACCACATATGATAGTAAGATCCAGGTATACCTCTTTTCCCCTGCCTCTTTCATTTCTCCTTTGTCAAATTACAGATTGCAAATGTTTAGGTGAAGCCACTCTTTATCCAAGATTTTTTAAAAAACTATTTATTGCAAATTGTAACTTTAAATTATGTACCAGTTCTTTTTCTTTCTCAGTGAAATGAAAATGTAGTGCATCTTCCATTACTCTTTCCTTTAAATCACCTTGCACAGCATGGATTGGCATCCCTCCCTTTCTCTTTTCTGATTCAATTAGAAAAAAAAAAAACTTCCGTTATTTCAATATGTGCAACTTGTCTTTTGATTGTTGAAAGGGATATATGTACTTGTGGTTTGCTCTCTGCAGGGAGCTACTGTGCCCAGTGCCTTTAGGGGGATGGAGTTAGTCTTCACTAAAATCGCCTCTTTAATTCCAGAGTGAAATATTTCCATCCTTCCACCCCCCAGATTCCTTTTCTAACTTTTTCCCGCTTCTTTACAAGCCAAGTTCGCTTCCTGGGGATCTCGTGCCCCATCCCGTCTCTCCAACCCCGCTGCCCACCTAGTTTGTATTAGTCCTGGTTCTCATCCGAAGTCCCATGGACTTCTTCCTCCACCCAGTTCGCCCTTCTGACAAAACTTTACTCTAAAGACGGAGGAAGGCAGCGCTTCTACTACGTGGAGAGAGGAAGAGGTGGGTGGAGAGACATCAAGGGGGTCTTAACGATGACTGATAGACCCCAGCCTCCGGGTTTCAGGTTAGATAAACAAGTTCTGCAGTTGGTCGGTTTCCTTGTGCTCTTCTTTTAAAAAGTCCCTCCTTCCTTCTCCTTCCCCTCCCGGTTTCTCTAACTCCCCCCCACCCAACTTTTTTTTTCCTTTTTTTTCTTTGGCAGCTGCACTAGTGACGGCGGCGCGGCAGCACAGAGTAGCACAACGGCGCCTGACAGTTGCGTGCATATGGGGTAAGTTTTGGTGGTGGGTTGAGTGGGAAGGGCAGAACTGACCGATCGTGGGGTTCAAATGGGGGGGGGGGACGCTGGAGAAAGCCAGGAAAGGGGGTCACTGCTGAACAGACGTGAAAGCCAGTCCTCGGGAAAGACTCTGGAAGCTTTCGAGTACATATCAGGTCCACCTCCGAAGCGGAGACACCCTTTGGTCAACTTTGAGACACCCTCAATCTCCCTCCGTTCCCAGGCTCGGAAGACGGAGGCTCCCTTCAGGATTGAGCTCCCGGTGCCCACGGACCAGGTAGCCTGGGAGTGGGGGGCGAGCCAAGGCAGGGTACCTCTCCACCACCGACTTTTCTCTGGGAAACCGGGCTGCTTTTCGGACGCAAAGGAAGGAGCACAACACGAGCTGAACTTTGGAAGTGAAAAGCTGGGGACTTGGAGGGGGCTCAGTTAATGTGACTGAGCTGCAGGAGGTCCTGCTAAGAAGTGATGGAGACGCAAAGGGGAAAAGCAAATCTGCTTCTGGGCGATTGGATGGGAAATGGTAGAAGAAGCCAGAATAAGTCATTCGGGAAAGGAGGGGGAGGGGGGAAGCAATATGAAAATGAAATCATGGCACTAGTACCCGAAGGAAGTGTGGGGGGAAACAAAAGACCACACGTTTTTTTTTTTATTGTTGTTGTTTTAACTTCAGCTAGGCTGCAAACAATTCCCTGGGCAGAGGCATTTTGGTAATTAAGTGAGGCTTTTTGAGAAAAGTTTATGGTGACAGAAGAGGACTAAACACCAGTAAATAAAATAAATAAACCTCACTCTGTTCTTTCAAATATGCATCCCCAAATCCTGAAACTCTTTCTGGAAAAAGTTAAAAGGAAGGGGGGAGGGGTTCCCACCACTGAGCAAATTGGAAAGATGGGAGAGTGGAACTGTGTAAATATATCGTAACTTAGTACCTTCTACATTCTTTGGGATGATGCCTTTTGGGTTTCCCAACCAGAATGGCCAAAGACTTTGAATCATGGGAGTTTTATGATTCTAACTTATCTCAGGGATACTAGACTGGAAGGCTAATGACCTCTGGCCAGATATATCATACATGAAACCCAACACATAATTACTACCTAGAAATAACCAAATTGACCTTGGAATGAAGTTTTATTCTGCTCTTGCTTGGTTATATCTGTATAAGGTAAAATATGTAGCTACACCCCAGAAAGAGAGCTTTAAACATTCTTTCCCTGCACCACTGCAAAATGAGTAAAACAGATAGGAAAAAATGAAGAGTACATGTAGAAGTCCTTTAATTTTTCCATAAATTCTACTCTCTTTGGATGAACAAACTGGCCTCTTGTCTGCAGCACTGATCCATTTTACAAAATTTCTGTGCCAGCTAGAAAGCAATGAATTGGATCTGGATTTTTATTATATAATATTTGGGGTAGATCCTATAAAATCAAGGAATCTGAGTAAGTTCATAGTAAGTTTTTGTGATTCCATTCAACGTTTGGATCTAGTCTGTGGTATGTGAACAATTGGGATCATTTGAAGTAGCCCCTTCCATAGTAGTAGTATGTGAGTATACAGTAAATCATTTTCTGAAACAATTCAATATCTATCTCCTTCTCTCTGCTTATTTCGGTCCCTTTGACACTGAAGCTGCCACTTGGGAATGTTGGGGGGGAGAAGTGATTCATCTCTGAATCATCTTTCATGCCAATGGGATTAAAGAAAGGCCTTCAGTAAAGAACTGTGATGTAGGTAAGACTAGTGACATGAGCACTTACATATTTTTAATGTAAAACCAATAGAAATTCAAAAGACAAGATGGTTGAAGTACATGCAGTTAAAGAAAGTACAACCAACAGTATTGAAGGTTTGGTAAAATTGGAGGAGGAAATTAATGGGGTATCCAAAAGCATGTATTCTGTAAAAAAGATGGATAAAGTACACTGGAAATAGAATTGTACTGCAGACTAGGTATTATTTTCATTCTTAATGTTTTTGCAGTTTTCAGATTTAGATGATACATTCTTTTGTTCACTTTAATCAGTGGTCTCCATGATTCAGGCCTTCCCTGATTATCCTCCTGCTTGTTATTGTATGAATGGAAGCTTTCCTTCCCTGGGTTGGAGCCTCAGTGGTATCTAGTTTGGGCATTGTTTGTGTCTGACAATAGTAGAAAAATATCCTTTGTCTACTTGGCAAAAAATAAAATAAAAATCAGTTCAGTCTCAAATAATCTCTCCCTAATATTGTTGCAGGCTCCACTGTATCATCTGTATATTTTCACATGTACTCAACCTGCTGCTGCCAAATATCAAAATTTTTGAGATTGCTGGTTCATATCTCCTGGGCTGTCATTCCTTTTGGTTCAGTGTCCATTGTTACCTACAACTTTTTTCTTTTCTCAGACTGTTTTCTTTCTACTTGGCTGTCCTTGACCATTTTTCCAAAGCATCTCTAGTAAGATAACACACCTCTTAGTTTTTATAAAACATTCTCTTAAAATACCTTTTATGATAAATCTTCAGTTGCAATTCTCTAGTTCTCAAATTCTACTTCAACTCATGCTATAGATTAAGTATAAACATATGCAACTGAAAGAGTGTCATATTTCTTCTATGTTAATAATACTTCCACTTTTTCTGTCCTTCATCTGTTGTTTCCCAGAAAAATTTTTTAGATGGCAAGCTCTTTGGAAGAGAGACCTTAGTTTTCTACTCTATAAAGTATTTTGCACTGGTGAAACTTATAACTTATAACTATTGCAAGAAAGAAAAGAAAAAAGAACAGAAGAACTATGAATCAAGAAAACATGTTGATTCTTAAAGTCCTAAAATAGAAATTGCAGGTTCCAAAAAATTAATGTATTGTAAACAATCAAATAAAGTGTGATAGGAAAAGAAACTGGCAGATAAAAGACTGAGCTATTTTTGATGTATTGATTTCTTCTGCTGGCATTAATAGATTTGTGGCTCAGAAAATGTCGTTCTTCTTGAAGTGATAAAACTAGCAGGATTCAATTACTTTAGACAGATGAAAGCTGGCATAGCTTAATGTTTCTCCATAAAATGTTTCTCCATAAAATAAAGTTTGAACAAGTAAAAGAAGCCCGTCCCTCAAACTAGAATAGGTTCCTTGTGCCTAATTTGTATTATTATAGTTGAACTCATAAATCTGGGTGAAAGACAGCATAATGATAACTGAGGTTTTTGGTGGAGACAGCAAAAGAAGAGAAAAATATTCATTTGGGATGATACTCAGGGAAATCGTTGATGGTTGAAAGATCACTGAAAAAATAGCAGAAATGAAAGCAAATACTTATTGTGAGTATTGGAAAATGATTGCAAATCGAATCGGTAGGCCATCTAAGTGGGAATAAATCCTTATCTAATTAACTTACAGCAGTGTTTCTCAACTTTGGCAACTTTAAAATGTATGAACTTCAATTCCCAGAATTCCCCAGCCAGCCAATTCCATGCATCTTAACATTGCCAAGGTTGAGAAACACTGGCTTATAATATTTATCATCATATTATATGTCATTTAACTTGGCTAATGTGGGCTAAGTTTTATACACTGAGAAAAAGATCAGCTCTGAATGATTCCTGCAAGGTGTTCAGTAACAATGCAACGCCCTAGGTTAAAGAAATCCCTTTGAAATGCAGCATCACATTGAAGGTACTGTAACAGCAGTACTGTCTACACAGTTGGTTTTTTCTTTTGCTGGACAGTTCCCTTGTAAAGGGTATCTATTTAAACAACTGGATAAGATTATGGAAGAAGATTACCCTGAGTTGTTTACAAAGACAGATAAGCCTGCCTTTGATATACCTCTTCGGAAGACTACATTAATTAGGAATATTGAAATAGTTCTCGATCAATGTCCATTTCCTTTTGATTTTGCCCAGCTCCTAGCAAAAGAAATGTATAAGCAGTTGGTATCTGTATAACTCCTTATAATCTCCTTTACGCCATCAGCTCAGTAAAAATTTCCAACAAGCCACAACAATTCCCATGAATACGTTTATCTACATGCATCTACTCCATTTCTCTGTGAACTGAGTATACAGTATTTATTCTTGGAACATGAATATAGAAATTGACAAGCGTTAGCAGAATGCTCAATGCTTCGTGCCGATAAAGTCTCTTTTTAAGCTTGTGCATGGCTGTATGCGTCCATCACTAAGTGAACAAATTGTTAAGAAATGCTCTATTTTATGAATTTTTTGTCATGATTGTTAAGGAAATCATTGCGGTCATTAAGTGAAGCACATGGTCATTGAGGGAATTTGTTTCCTCCATTGATTTTACTTGTCAGAAGCTGGGAAGATTGCAAATGGCGATCATGTGATCCCGGGACACTGCAACTATCATCAATCCATGCTGATTGTCTGACTTTTGATCAAGGAGCCTGAGTGGCGTAGGAGGCTAATGCCTCCTACTAAGGCAGCATTTAACATCCAGCTGCCTGCAATTACTGCGAGTTCAATTCTCACCAGGCTCAAGGTCAACTCAGCCTTCCATCCTTTATAAGGTGGGTAAAATGAGGACCCAGTTTGTGGGGGCAATAAGCTGACTTTGTATAAATATACAAAAGGATGAAGGCTATTGCTTAACGCATTGTAAGCCGCCCTGAGTCTCCGGAGAAGGGCGGCATATAAAAATAAAAAAAATAAAGTGGCTTCAGAGGCACTAAGTGTAAGGATTGGTTATAAGTCACTTTATTCAGCTTCATCATAACTTCAAATGGTTGCTAAACACATGTTTGTTAAGTGGAAGATTACCTGTATATGCATGCCCAGTAAATCTGTATGCAGATTTTAATTTTAAGTTTATCCGTCAGCTTCATCAAATTGCCTTTAAATGAATTATCTTTTTTTAAGTGCTATTAAACATTAAACAGAACAGTAGGAAGAGAAGCATTCATTAATTGGGGGGCCCAGGGGTGAGGAGAAGATAGAATGGAGAGGAAATGAAAAGATTAACTGTACAGTCTTATTCACATCTTC